AATTGGTATACATATCCAAAAATTCGTTGCATTGCAAAGAATGTATGCATTTAAATCCAAGAGACATATCAGAACAGTCAAAGGCCAGCAGTACTTTGTAAAGTGTATCAGAAAGTCTTTTTTCTGGAAGAAACGGCTTAGGCCGCATTCCCTTCTCCCGGTGGATAAACAATGCATCCATAAGCTTGACTTCAACACTTCCTGTGGTGAAGCTCCCTTTGAAAGCATGTCTGCGGGTTCAAAGCTGTACGTATATATTGCGAATTTTTTTTTTTGTTTGCTGATGTATGGCTGCGACCCTATTTGCGACCAAAACATTTGACTTTGATGGCTCTTCGCGAAGCCATGATAGCACTTCAGAAGAATCCGACTAGCAGTAAAACCGACAATCGTACAGTTTTAGATTTACTATATCGTTGACCAAATGTGCAAGCAAGGCAGCGGTGCAAAGTCCCAATTTGGGAACGGTTAACGTAGTTGTAGGAGCTATCCTAGATTTTTAGTAAATTAAATGTACCTTAACTACTCCTTCCTTAAACGATCGAGCACAAATTCAGGCGCCATAGGCCAGAAGACTGGCGTCACAGAAGGCATGGATCTCAACCCTTGATTCCGACTGCAACACATAACGAGGAAATTTTCCGTATCCGACCTCAGCAACTTTCTTGCAAAACTCCGACAATCCCATTGCAACTTGTCTCTCCACATCCTTTGCAATATTATTTCTGCCTTTGTTTGAGTGGGCCCGACTAGCCCTAGTGGGTCGTAACATCTTGCTATCGTTGACAATACTGAGCGCTTTGTGTGGCGTCCAGATCCAATATGGCGGGCAAATGTGAATGATGTCCATTATGTCCATTCCATCATCAAATTTCAAAAACGCTTCCCTATTTCCTGGAATATGGCCCAACACCTCAGATGAATTGGTTCCACGCTTAAGAAGACCAGAAGTCTAATGCATGATTTTCAAAACCTCTTCACTGAGTTGCCTCCAGAAATCGTAGTGTCTACTGCGAATTCCCGTAGGACTACGGCTGCACCAAAGATATAGGAAGCAAATTCATCCACTGCTAGCCGACGCATTGCTCGTAGGTCCGGATAGGATAAGCTCATTTAACGAGACACCGGACGAAGTTGCTGCCAATCCATCAAATACCACCCTTAACTTAGTGGATGTGCTATCTGGAGCAATGGAGCTCCTCCTTTGACGTCCTTGCAATTGGCTCAGTGACAAAAACGAGCTAAGAGCATGTTCTATGGTGGCACTCCATGTTTATGTTTTTCGATAGACGATGAGTTGCGATAAACGACGAGTGTTTTGGGGCCGGCTGGCCGACACCAGAAAGAATCCAACCGAGATGGGTCTTTTGTAACAAGGGCATTCCGGGAGCGCCCCTACCTGCTGATCAATGCGCTGCGGCAAGAAAAATTAGGGATCAGCTAGTTGAATGTTCCATAGAATATTCCACGATTCAATGAAAAATACATAAAAAGGTTGTTGGTCAGTTATTCTCGCACCTACGACATCCGGGATGCTATTTCTGTAATTTCATACTCGAGATTTTGCGATGAGGTCACCTGAGTATCCTTCTGTGGAGAAGCTGTTGTCTCCAATGCAAGATACCAAAAGCGTACGACAAGGTATGTACGAGCCTGCACGGTTCTTGATTAGGAAAACTGTTGTGGCAAGTAAGACCTACTCAAACGAATATTGAGATACAAGGGCTTGCGAATTGGACTGCGAGGGAGATGACAAAGCGGATGACGAGACGGCCAATACGTAGCTACTACTACTACATATAACTAGAGCAAGCTGTTTAATTTTCTGTTGGGCAAGGATGATCAACTGACTGTCTATAATGTATAAGAGTGTTATGATTTTGTGATCTAAGTTACGAAAAAAGCACATCCCTGCAAATATCTTTCTTTGAAGCGTACTAGCATCCTTTCTAGACTTGCCATTCCACATTTTCATGGTGCGTAATCTACATTCCAAAAAAAATTGATAATTTTTCCGAAGTCAGTAGCTCCTGAGTTGACGTGATCTCATCAAACTTGGCTTGCGTGTTCTTGCCAAGCCTCTGAAGCAAGGCGTGGACCAGAACGCATCATGAAATTTCTTGGTTATTGGCAAGGGAATCCATTGCTCGAAGATGTGAGGTTATGTGATCCGTGTGAGCCAGCAACTTCGCTACCTAAGAGCTCACTCGCTCTAACCCAAATTTCTCTTATATGAGCCTGTAAAATGAGACGTTTATTATCAAATCGCTTTTTTTAGAATATCCAATGCATCAAGTTAGTTTGCGTTTTTTTTAGTACTTCGACATATAGTAATGGTTAAATATTTCAAAATTACGGTTTAAATTTCATCAAAATCTTACGATTTTAATTTTTAACTTAATTAATTATTTGACAGTTGAGAATTACGCTTATTATTTTATTAAAATCGGAAAGCTATATTATAAAGCTGCCATAGGAACTATTGAATAATTGAGCTGCAAATGTTTTTAAACATATAGGCAAGTAAATCATTATTTTTAATGTTTCCAAGAATATTTAATTTTTGCAGTAGCTGCAAGGTTATATGAACTTCGGCTTGCCGAAGTTTGTTTCCTTTCTTGTAAAAGAACACATTTTTACAAAAAACCGGTACTAACGTTTCGGTATCGGTATATATAGAATAATGCTATATATTTCGGTTCCGGTTAGGCAAATTCATTACATATCGGTTTCGGATTTGATTCGCTTATACCGGTTACGGATAACGGTCACATATCCGGTTAGATGCAGTATGACAACCTTTGTCAAATGCCTTTGCTAAAGTCCAAATATGACGTTGAAATTCACTGATAAAAAAGTTGCTTAAAACAACTAAATTTGAGGTAGAAGACTTACCAGACATAAACCCATGCTGGTTGGGTGAAATGTGTGGCTTAACTAGAAAATATATGTGCTTGGTAATAATCCGTTCAAAAAGTTTAGAAATATTACTTAGTTTAGCTATGGGACGACAGTAAATGGTAAGGCATACCCTAGATTTGTGAACTATTTATTTTTAAAACACCCCTTGCAAATTTCAAAAATTAATCATAAAGGGCTAAACACAGTTTTTAAGAGAAATTCCGTTAATTTCAGGCTTATTTATGACATCAAAATTATCTAAAACTATGTGAATGTCATTATCAGACACGGAAAAAATGCGAATGCTATTAAAAAACGGAATATTATTCAACGTCTCGAGATGATTCCAACCACTCACAGGTTCGAAGTTAGATTTAAAAATCGTAGCAAAAAGATTGGCCAGCTCAGTGGAAACAGTGATTTTATTTATTGTCATAGACTAAGACTATGAAGATATATTATTGAAAAATAGTTTTTTTTTTAAATTTACAAACATCCAGAAAGCTTTAGGATTTTGTTTAAGATCATCCCCGACATCAATAATGTACTGGTAGTAAAGAAATAAATTTAAGAATTCCAACTGCCACTTGCGCTGCATGTATCGATCCCAGTCCAGACAGAGAGTTATTAGTTGCAAAATACCATTTGTAAAATTTATTACGCAGGTTTTTATTTTTCTTCAGATCACTTGTGTTCCATGGCAGTCTATATGGACTTCATACTTTCAAAGAACAATTCCTTTGAATAATATCGGAAATTATATTAAGCAAGTTTAATTAACAAACATAACACTAGCATGCGACAAATCCAATAAACAGTCAAAATAGCATTACGAACATATCATTAAATCTATAAAATGAAACCTAAGGCAACACAGGCTCAAAAGTTTAAAATTTAAAATTTAAAATTTAATAATAATGGCACATGATGCACATCACATTTCGAAACGGGACATTAGCAGAAGTTCAATGAATAATTAATTTCTGAACTCACGAAAACAAGATAATATATTTAATCTGTTATCGATAATATTTATCTGGAATATTTAATTTTGCGGCAAATGAACGTTGCCCGAAATTAAGCTGCTGTTCTTTGCCCGATTCCAATACAGATCTTAACTATCCTTATCCGTTACCTCATCTTGGTTTAATCTTCAATCCAGGAATTCTCAAAAGAGATGTTCACCAGGCTCTAATCGCTTCCAAACTCTCATTTTTATTCTTAAAAACTGCTCAAATTGTCTTTTATGTCACTTGAGAACGCTTTTTACATCTTTCTGCATGTCAATTCAAATTCATTCGCGCCGTCCCTATAGTGGTACCGAAAAAACATCGACTAAATATCGCCTAGAAACTTGCGGTTAGTAACGTTTATTCCTTATTCAAGGAATAACCGGGAAATTTTAGCACGGCTAAACCTTACGGATCATTAAAAAAAATGGTGGACGGTGCTGTGTGGGACTGGCCCATAGAGTACATTGGCCGATATTTATTATACCCGTTACTCGTAGAGTAAAAGGGTTACAGGTAGAAGAAAGTGTTTCCGACCATATAAAGTATATATATTCTTGGTTAGGATCAATAGCCGAGTAATTTCCATTTTCAAAATCGAGCTTTTATTTTCGGACTTATGAAGCTATCTGCCGCCCCTCTGCTGCTGCTTAGCCACTGATCGACCGCTGTTCTGTCGCTGCTAGCAGATAAAAGAGAGAAAAGAGAGAGAGAATTACAAAACTGTTAGAGGGGGTGGGGGTTATGCCCGCATTTAGCTTCGATTGTTGATTATGCAGTTCGACAGATGGCGCCACCTAAACTTCGATCGTTTTGTAGGGTAAATACTCAGGTTGAAGTTTGTTGGCTGAGTAACGGGTATCTAATAGTCGGGGAACTCGGCTATAGCATTCTTTCTTTCTTATTAGACGCTTGTTAATTAAGTTCTGAACCACTTCAGATTTTTTTTTTGTAGTATTTTAACACACTTTGATTAGCTTTCAATTGTTTATATTTTAATCTTCTGTAGTAAAAAAAAAATGACTTTACCGTACCAAACTTAAGAAATCTTTTTATTAAGTAATCACTTGAGCTATAATTTATTTACAGAACGACGCAACGATAGCATTTCTTCGTGCTGCCCGTAGCGGGGACATTAAAAAAGTGGTCGACTTTATTGAAAATGGTGAGATATCGGACATAAACAGTTGCAATGCGGTAAGTGAAAATAAAGAACAGGAACTTCAACTAAATTTAAAAGGTTTAAAATAGTCAGAGATAATCAAACTACTTCTACTAATTTGAGTCAGAAGTTTGCAACGCAGTGAAGGAAACATTTCCAACCCTATAAAGTTTATATATTCTTGATCAGCATGACTAGGAGAGTCGGTCCGTCTGTCCGTCTGTCCGTCCGTTTATAGGCAAACTAGTCTCTCAGTTTTAAAGCTATCTGCATGAAACTTTCCCAAAAGTTGTCTTTCTATTGCAGGTAGTATATGAGTCGGAACGAGCCGGATCGGACGACTATAGCATATAGCTCCCATAGGAACAATCGGAAAAATAAATGAAAAAAAATTATAACTGCTGTTTTTTAATTTTTTGTTTAGTTCTTCGACATATAGTAATGTTTAAATATTTCCGATTTACGGTTTAAATTTCATCAAAATCGGAAGACTATAGCATATAGCTCCCATAGGAACAATCAGAAAAATAAATGAAAAAAAATTATAACTTTGCTGTTTTTTAATTTTTTGTTTAGTTCTTCGACATATAGTAATGTTTAAATATTTCCGATTTACGGTTTAAATTTCATCAAAATCGGACGACTATAGTATATAGCTCCAATAGGAACAATCGGAAAAATAAATGAAAAAAAATTATAACTTTGCTGTTTTTTAATTTTTTGTTTAGTTCTTCGACATATAGTAATGTTTAAATATTTCCGATTTACGGTTTAAATTTCATCAAAGTCGGGCGACTATAGCATATAGCTCCCATAGGAACAATCGGAAAAATAAATGAAAAAAAATTATAACTTTTCTTTTTTTTTAATTTTTTGTTTAGTTCTTCGACATATGTCAATGTTTAATTATTTCAGAATTATGGTTTAAATTTTATCAAAATCGGACGTCTATATCATATAGCTCCCATAGAACTAATAAAAATATATAAAATAACTATCTAATAATTGAGCTGCAAATCATCATAGCTTCACTGTTTTTCAGCATATACTCAAGTAAATCATAATTTAAATGTTTTCAAAAGTATTTAATTCATGCAATAGCTGCAAGGGTATATGAACTTCGGCTTGCCGAAGTTTGCTTTCTTTCTCGTTATTTTGTAATTTTTTTTTTTAAATTCTTTTTGACTAATTAATAATTACGCTTTTAATTTTATTAAAATCGGAAAACGATATCATATAGCTGCCATAGGAACTATGTAATAAATAAGCTGCAAATCATCATAGCTTTAATGTTTTTAAACATATGCGCAAGTAAATCATAATTTTAATGTTTTCAAGAATATTCAGTTTTTGCAAAAGCTGCAAGGGTATATAAACTTGGGCTTGACGAAGTTTGCTTCCTTTCTTGTTCTTCAATTGCTTTTAATATGTATTAAAGAATTTTGAACAATAGGTGTGCAATCAGAAATTTGATTTTTATCAATAGGAAATGTTGGTCGCAGTCAAAAAAATTTGCTTCAAATACCTTTACTTCATGTACTACATTGGCAGCGGGTTTTCTATTTTGGACTGTTTCTTGCCCACTATGTTTAATTAATATTTATTTTGTATATAATACTATAATATCCCTTCTACTTCGTCGGCGACTCTTCCGTCAATCCTGTCGTCATCTGTTAATTCTTCGTTGACGCAATTGGTTTGCCACTCGCACGAGGTTCGCATGAAATTTATATGTTGTCTTTTAAGATTTATGACTATATTGTGGGGAATTAATAAAATATTTGTTTTTTTTTTCGCTTCAATGCGAATTTTTCTATGTGTAAGTCAAGTTCCGTGCTGCTGAGTGAATAGGACGTATTTAAGACAACTGAACCTTGTCTAATCTTGTATTTTTTCTCAAGGAATTCTAGTTAATTCCTCTTCTTTTCTTTGTGCTAGTCTTGCATGTTACTCTTTGATTGACAATCTTGACGTAACACATTTTTTTCACTTTAACAATCGCTCAATTAACTGAGGTTTACTTTATAGTTTTGATTTACTTTTCGTCCTTCTGGTCCTGGCAGGATCGCATTGTCCTTTAATTATAGTTCTGTTTATTAAAGTAGAATTGTATTATGTCCTTGGGTTTTGGCTTTGTTTATTTATCGCTTCTAGCTTGTCTCCGCTCTTACCTCACCTTAACATCTCGTACTTAACGGAACAAGTATTTTGTATTGCCTTTCTTTGACATGAACTCTCTGTTTTGTTTTGTTAATATTAATAACATATCTTGTGAGTATAGTGAGTGCGTGTCCTAGAGCTTCCATTATTGTGAAATAGAGTTCTGTATTTAACCATAATAAATGTACTTTCGAGAATTTTATTTCTTGCGGTTACGTGAAATAAGAATTTGTTATGGTTATATAATTTATTATATGTTATGGTTATATGTTATTATAATTTCAGTCAGAATCTAGAATCTAGGCATTTACATTGCATCACTTACAACACACTTTAAACTGTATGTATTCGAATTGAATTGAGTCGAGAGAGTGCCTTGAACACAATGAATCGAAGTTTTATTAACATGAGTGCTTGTAGAATCTGACAGAATAAAACGATGAGTAAAATAAGTGGGAATGAATAAGTGAGTGAAACGGAATTTGGGCACACTAGATAATATTCGAGTTATTCGAAAAAAGAAGAGAACGGACGAATATAGACGGAATAGAAGCTCACAAAAGTGCAGATTTTGCAAATTAGGAATAGATTATTATAACGATCTAAAAAAATATTTTGCGCAAATTGACCACTGATTATCGACTTTTCCGCTGATTTAATATATGTTATCGACTTTTCGGCCATCTCGACAAATAAAGGTCTGTTAGTAAAACTTTAGTTTTTCTTATTTTTTCTGACAGTCATTCGTTATTTTCGTATTCTACCGGGTTTTGTCGTACCACTTAAAAATAGTCGAGAAACTCTCTCACTCATAACTTTTTAGCTTTTCATTTAAATTCACTTAACGTATTTTGAGCATTGTACATTTGAATGCAGTCGTCTACTAGAACCGCAGTTAATGAGACTTGTCCAACTAGAAAGTCCGTTTCTACGAAAACTTTTTTTTTAAGTCTTTGAGGCATAGTGATAGTGTTCTATTTACAAGTACGCAGATCTAATCGTTAGGCATGTAAATAAATAAGCATTAACGAGCAGATTCAACGCTTCTGATGTAGTCATTGGAAAACGGACGTACTTATGGGGACATCCTGTCCCTAGGATGCTGTCCAATTTGAGCCTTTTTTTGGGAACTCTCATACTTAAAATTTGCTATACCTGTTGCTATGGTATAGCCTATAGCCCTACTCACAAACAGCGTATTAACACCGCTACTGCATATGATGCGCTGTTAGTAGCACCGGCACCGCATTTAAGGCGAGTACACTTTTAGTGGTCAAATCAGGCACCAGTGTGCGTCACAATGGTGAACATTTGACTTCAAATGTTTTTGGTTGTTTTTTTTTTTTTTTACGTTGGGTCGATTATAACCTGATGGAAGATTCCAGTTAAACTGTATTAAAACTTCGGGTAAGGATTGACATCCATCGGGACCACCCATATTTTCGAATTCAAGAGCTCTCCTTCCGTTTCTATTGCCGCATCAAATACAATCCTTAACTTTTGAGCTAGCTTTCGGATTAGAATGTCCGATTTGGGAAAGATACCATTAATTTTCGTTTATTCATGGTGACTTCCTTGATATAACCCTTGCTTTCGTTTGCTTCAATTAGATTGCGATATTTCCTATAAATTGAATAGCAATTTAAATTTCCGTTCCCAGGTTTTCATGCAATATTATGACAAGCTTGAGCGTATACTGACCCTCGTCACAAATACAATTTTTATGACTCTCGACTCTAAATGACCTGCGCTTCTCAACGCAGTGGTCGGAGCAGACGCCCTACAGATGTTTATTTTACGCCTAAAAAACCGGAGGGCAGTTGAATTCCAGGCACAGCCAAAAAGGCCTACTTTCGGGTATGGCTGGATGGATGCTGAAGCCTGCATCGAACTAAGCCAGTTCACGGCATCATACTCTAAAGCAATGGAGCAGAAAACCCAGATTACTGACTTTCGCAAGGCCCATTACAGCACTCCCGATAAATAAAGGAGAAATTACGGTACTGTCTATGGCCAAGAAAAGAAAAGCCAGATAAGAACCAACAAAGTGATTCATGGCGTAAAACAGACAACTGAGCCGACCATTGCAACCCACGTCAAGCACTACAGCCCATCCATCCCAGCACTACAGGAATCCATCATGATCTTAGAGCACCACTATGAGTCAGTGTTTTGCGATGAATTCTGGCCAGAATCATCATATTTGTTCACAGGATTAGCCCAGTTGTAAAGGAAACAATTTTGGTGTTGCACACTGATCATACTCCTATTTCATCTACACCCAATTCACCCCAAAAATTGGCGCAACTGGCGTCGACACTCTTCCTTCACTCCTGGGTTTGATCTCGCAACAGCAAAGGCTACTGGGATCGCTTGCTGTCTTTATTCTCTTCAATTTTGGACTCTGCGCACTTCTCTCCGATTAATATACAACATCGCCAGCTTGAGCTCTTGTTGTCCGTGTCGTCCGGACCTCGCCGAACATTGGGTTCTATTCCTATTACGGATTGCGTGCTCTTCCGAGACGCGCTCTTTCATTTCTTTACGCTCACGACAGTTCAACAAAATTCTCGGGTTGAGCCTTCAAACTTTGCTTTGTGCGATATTCATAATTTTAATGTTAACACTCTACTCTTTGCGCGAGTTATCTTTTAGGTTCTGTAAGGGATCGGTGGCGGACCGCCGAGGGTAGTTGCTGAGGCGGTAACTCGCGCCGATATTGAAGCCAAGCAGTCGGCTTTTGCGAATATCACACAAATCGGACACGTGAAGCTCAAGCTGGTTATGTTTTTGATGCAGAGAAAGAGAGATGGAATTGGATGAGATCGCAACTCCAAAGAGTGCACTAAGCACGGTGTGCAGCTGACGTTGTTGTTGCGAATCCAGAAGGCAAATATGATGAGGGGCATGCAGAAAATGTCCAGAAAAACCATCGAAAACAGTGGCCGCCGATTACTGGAGGTTTTTAAAGAAATAGTTAAGGCGGAAGTAACTGTAGATCCGGCCAGGTCACCGCCACTTAAATCTGCCTCCGCAATGATCCTCTTTCTGTAGACAAAGTTTTTTACCTTTACAGAGCGTGGCCAAAACTCATTATTAAACACACGCCAAGCTTGAAAATAACGATTTTTAAAGTAGTAAGTTTTAGCGTCAACTTGTAATTTAGTAGAAACGTAATTAAGGACGGCATGCGGCTCCATTGAAGCGTTAAATCTTCCCACATACAAGTATTTATTTAGTATTTGGCAATACTAGTAACTCAACAGAATTAGGTGCCACTCCAACCACAAGTTTTTTGCGCTTATTGTTATTCCTTCTCTTTATGTTCTGAACTTGTTAAAAATCAACGCCTACAGCAGCATGAGGATAAGTAGTAGTAAGTGGCCAGGTTATTGACCTGTGTGGAAGATGCCGCAGTTTAAGCGTAAGACTGGGCAACTTCATTTAGATTGGCAGCCATCGGTAGGCGTGGTCTAATGTTGACATTCTGGTAATTGTTTTCATTTAAAGCAGCATCATTTACTGGAGAAACCTCAAGAAATTTTGAATAGCACTCTGCTCCGGAATCAAAAAAGTAAGAAACGGGTTCACCGTTTTGGTACAAGGTTCTTTTTGAATCGACGACAGTACACACATCCACTCGCTTCTCATACGGGTTGCCCTTGCTTGACAGTGATGGGGTCATTGAACATGTGGTTGCGATATGGTCAGCTGGCCACACATGAAACAGGTCACGGTTTACTTGTCCCTCCTCGGCACGTTGTTGCTGTGAACCGAGTTGCTTTTTTCGTCATTTCCTCCGCCAGATCTCCAGCTTCGATATTCTGCGATTTTATATCCTGGATTTCCAAAAAAGTGACACTTCACTTGCCATGGCGATCTCTGCTTCATCCGGTCTGGCCACTTGTATGCTCAGGGGTTTAACAATCACTGCGTTTGCCAAAAGCCATTCTCCTAAGTTAGGATAACACTGCAAGTCGCCTTTGCATTGTTCTGTTCTTGGTGCTCTAGAATTGACTGACTGACTGACAAACCCTTCAGTGCTCTCATACTACTTATCTTTCGTTTTATTCTTTTCTACAACTGTACTCAGTACTACTATAACAGAATTATCTCTGCCTCTTTTGGTTCAACGGAATGTTGATATAATTTCAGTTACATTCAAATTCAAATCTTCATCTTTATTCAACCAACATGGTTTCAGTTAAATTCAAAAGTTATTATATTGCTCTTCGACATAGGTTTGTTTATTGAGATAATCCTGGATTTAAATACAAATTTTCTAAATTAAGTGTTTTTTACACGGGTTAATAAACCAAAGGAATACTTTTTGTAACTTATTTATTTTATTCTTATTTCAGAACGGTCTCAACGCACTTCACCTAGCTGCGAAAGACGGATTTGTGGATATTTGCTGTGAATTGCTAAGGAGAGGTATCAAGGTGGATAATGCCACCAAAAAAGGAAACACTGCCTTGCACATTGCTTCTTTGGCAGGCCAGCAAGATGTTATCAATCAACTTATTTTAGCTAATGCCAATGTAAACGTTCAGTCTCTTAATGGTTTCACGCCTCTCTATATGGCAGCACAAGAAAACCACGATAACTGTTGTCGGATCCTACTGGCCAATGGAGCAAACCCGTCATTATCTACGGAAGATGGATTTACCCCACTTGCAGTAGCAATGCAGCAGGGGCACGACAAAATAGTTTCTGTCCTGCTTGAAAACGATGTACGCGGAAAAGTTCGCCTTCCAGCACTTCATATTGCAGCAAAGAAAAATGATGTTAATGCAGCCAAACTATTACTTCAGCACGACCACAATGCTGATATTGTTTCGAAATCTGGTTTTACTCCATTGCATATAGCAGCTCATTATGGAAACGTGGACATCGCCACTTTGTTGTTAAATAACAAGGCAAATGTTAACTTTGTGGCAAAACATAACATCTCCCCTCTACACGTGGCATGTAAATGGGGAAAATTATCAGTATGTAATTTGTTACTATCTCGAGGAGCAAGAATAGATGCGGCGACTCGGGATGGTCTGACACCACTTCACTGCGCATCTCGTTCGGGCCATGTTGGGGTGATTGAGTATTTGTTGCATCAAAACGCTCCCATATTGACAAAGACTAAAAATGGTCTTTCTGCGCTCCATATGTCAGCACAGGGAGAGCACGATGAAGCTGCGCGACTACTATTGGAAAACAAAGCTCCAGTTGACGAAGTAACCGTCGATTACTTGACAGCTCTTCATGTGGCTGCTCACTGTGGCCATGTCAAAGTAGCTAAACTTTTGCTTGACTACAATGCAAATCCAAATGCTCGTGCGCTTAATGGGTTCACTCCTCTGCATATTGCCTGTAAGAAAAATCGTATTAAGATAGTTGAACTACTTATTAAACATGGAGCCAACATCGGCGCGACCACGGAATCGGGTCTGACGCCTTTACATGTTGCCAGTTTTATGGGTAAGTACATGTTGATATCAAATTAAGGTTAATTAGCCTGGTTAAAAAATGTGTGTAAAAATGACAATTTTTGTATTTTTTTTTACAAAACAGTTAAAATTATGGGAAAATATATATAATGTAAAACGACTATGGCAGCTATTACTCTGGAAAGTTTCGGAATAAAGTTCAACTGCGGCACAAGTAAATTTCTCAGTGTTGAGCCGAGGAAAAGACAAAAACAAACATAGTTTCACTTAGCCATAAAAAAACAACGTAATTGTTGTTGCCTTGCAACGAATTGCAGTAACGAATTGGACCACAAGGAAGAACGAAAAATTGTTTGTGCATAGCAAAATGTGCCCGGCAAGCTTACCAATGTGCCGGCCCTCACATCTCCATAAGCAAGCGCGTTTACAAAAACAATTGTGCTCCATATGCAAAGGCGTAGGCGTAGGGTGGAGCACAATATATATCGACACAACAAATACATTTATTCCAAATAGAAGAAAATAGATTTTAGAAGTTATTGGCAAATATGTTTTACTGAGACGTCACTATTTCAAAAAAGGAGTTCGTCCAGCGGGGGTGCCGTGCTGCTCGCTATAAGATTGTTGTGTTGATAATGTAGTTCGGAAGATGGGCGCCACCCGATTGTTTTCTGGTGAAATATATATGTCAAACAAAAACACCTCTTAACGGGGTAAACAATTCGTTAATAAGGATTCGACTAGATATAAACACTTTTTCATCCAGGTATTTTTTATCCGGGTATTTTGCCTACACAGGCATTTTTTAAGCGTGACAAATGGGAACATTTAAAAAATGTATTTATTTTGTCAAATGCTTATTCATTTTTCATACCAAATTTGATATAAGATATTTTATATGTTGAAGGTGCGATCGTCACGACTTTTTAACTCATTAAGAGTTGTGTTTGTTTGATATCAAAAGTTTTTTGTTGGAAATATAGTCAAAGTACCCCAATATTGTGACCATGGTTTTAAAAAAAAAAAACTTTTACCGATACTTCAGTACTAATTTTGTTTTAACAAACTACGTTGGACAAGACTTTAAAGCTTAACTAACAAGAAAGGAAGCAAACTTCGACAAGTCCATGCTCATATACCCTTGCAACTATTCCTAAAATTAAAATTTTTTAAAACAACAATATTTTAATTATTATGCTTTTGTGGTTTACAACCAGCTATTTGATATCGTGGTCTGATTTTAATAAAAATATAACCGTAAATCTGAAACAATAAATCATTATTTTGTATCGAAGTATATTCAAATCAATTGAAAAACAGCCAAATTATATTTTTTCATATGTTTTCTCGATTGTTCCCATGGTAGCTGTGTGATATAGCCGTCCGATTGTTGTTTCAACTTCTACTAATAGTTTTTAAACTGATGGGCTAGTTTGCGTAGATACGAGTGGACAAACAATCGGACATGGCTAGATCGACTCTCCTAATGATGCTGTTAGGTTCGGAAATGTGTCCTTCTGACTGAAATTAAAATACCATTTGTAAGGATATAAAAATATAGAACATTAAAATTTGAATATCTTCGTTGCTCTTAAAATTATTTCAAGATGTAGATAATTTTTTTTCCAAGTATCTGATTTCAAATAAGTTTGCTTAAATTAGGATAAGTTTTAAATTTATAACAATAATTAATATTAAAAAATTATTTAATGAATATGTTTCTACCTGTAACCAAAATCATTTTTTTATAGATGTGTATTTTTAGGAGGAAATCCTTGCCTAAGCAGCGTTAACTTCTCCAAACTGGGAAAAGTAGCCGTTTTCGTTTTGTTATACACCAAAAGTTGAGGAATCTCAAGGGCTATAAACGTTGAAAAATAAACAAAAATCGACTCTAACAATTTTAAAAAATTTGCAAGAAAGTACAAAAAAAAAAAAACAAATAATTTTAAGTTCTTTTATTTAGACAAATTATGTTAAGGCAACGTGACTAGTATATGACAATACTTTTTTAATGACATACAGGACTTGTGTGTAGCTAACTAGTTAAGAAGTTATAGCCGTGCAAAGTTAAGCTGTTTTTAGCGATTTCCCGCTTAGGAACTGTACTTAAAAATTTTTTTAATGTGTCACTTTCACCGTCCTTTCTCCTCAACCAATTAATTTTCCTAAAGTCTTGGTATGCAATTCTTTTCATTTAGCAATACCTTTCGATTGCTGTATTCGTCACTACATGTGCTGTCGTGATTTTAAAATTTGTTAGATGAGTAACCAATATTTAATATGCATAAATGTCTGGGGAAAAAGTAGGATCCAAATTAGATTAGGTATGGATGGGGTCGAACAGTTTCCTGTCCAGTATTAAGCCAAGGCATTTGGCTTTTTCGTTAAAAGTTAGAAAAGTATAGATTAGAATGGGTGGAGTTAGTTCTGGAACCTTATACCTTCTGGTGAATAGTACCAGCACCGTTTTATCTGGGTTAACCCCTAGTTCACACCACTACGCCCATGTGGAGAGTGATGACAGGGCTGTTTTCATAAGACTACTGAGTGTTTCCGGGTAAATTTCTTGAATTAGGATTACTACGTAGTCCGCTAGCACCTTAAATCCCCCTCTCTCTAGGGGAAGAGAAGTTCGTTAACCGCTATGGCCCTCTGCTAACTAGTCCAGTGGCCTGGGCCAGTCCCAGAGTCACTACTCTGCTGATAAGCATTCAGTGAATGATTCTCAACAGGGATGGTTCAACTTCTAGGCTCGTTAGTGCTCGTGTGATAGCTTCTGGAGTGACGTTATTAAAGGCTTCTATGTCTAGAAAACCCGCCAAGGAGTATTCTTTGTGGTGGAAACCGTATTCTATCTGGGATCCTAGTGTGTGTAGAGCAGTTTCGGTCGATTTGCCTTTCCTGTAGGCGTGCTGAGGGTTGAGACAAGGTTTGGGTTTACTGTTGTTCTGATGTTCGTGTCCATTAGTCTTTCTGGGTTTTTAGTAAGAATGAGGACAGACTTATTGGTTTAAATTCTTTTGGAGAGCTATGTAACGGTTTCCCAGCCTTGGGAATGAAGATAACTTTTGCTTCTAGCCACCTTTTGCAGTTGTGCTGGGAAGAGACCTTCTGGTCCTGGAGATTTGAAGGGCTAGATATTTTCGAGATAGCATATTCGTCTTGGGGTTCGAGCTATTAAGACTAGAAAACTCATTAGGGTTGGGGGGAAGCGAGTATTTAGGAGCAGCTCTAGTGTTTCTTGGCTGGTCTCTGTCCATCTGTTTCTACGTGTTTTTAAAGAATTCTATGGTGGTTGGAGATTTGTAAAGAATCTTTCTAAGTCGAGTCGCCTCATTGGTAGACTCTATGTTTGATGCAAAAGCGGGCCCACTCTTTCCGTTTGGCCTGTCTTATTTAATTTTTTTACACTCTAAGTTTCGTGTGGTATTTCTTCAGCTTTTGCCAGTGTTATGTTTGGCCATGTTGAATTTGAGGTGTGTTAGGATGGTAGACCACCAAGGAGGTTTATGGTTCAATTTTTAAGCTTTCTTTCAGGTGTCTGTGAGGATGTTAACTGTTTTCTCGAGTTTATCCTGGGTGTTTGGATTAAAGGGGTGAAGGGTGTTTAGGTAAGTGTCTAGGAGTTTGGTATAGTACCCCCAGTTCGTTCTTTTTAAATTGGTGATTTCTTCAGGATATGGGTATCAAGTATTTATGGTAAAATAGGTCATCCCCGACCCTCCAGATTCCGATTAGGAATCCCAAACTTCCCTTATGTTTCTGGTGATAAAGGTGAGTGTTTTTACTCAGCCCTAGTTTGACCAATGTGTGAAGAAAAATATAAGCATTAAGGAGTTATTTGATATGAATACAAGTTCTCAGTTGTTTGATTGCTCTCTCACTTTTCTCAGTATCTCAGTGACTCCGTTACTCACTTGTTCAGTTGCTCACTCATTCTTTTTCCTGTCCTTTGCTATATTTCTGACATTGTTTCTTTGTTCCCTTACTTTGCCCTGTTGCTATTATGCTATTAGTTTTTTCTCCAAGTTCTTTCGGTCAGTTATTTACTTTTTTCGAAGCGAAAATTTTGGTTTAAGGATTGTACATCGTAGCTTCTGAAGGAATACTCCATCTCTGATCACAGGCTCATCCAAACCACTATTTCAACAGCGGTTTGGGAATCGGCCCTTATAACGTTAATTCATATAGGCTGGATCCTAAAATGGATTTAATACGAACAACATATGGTAGCAGAGTACAGTTTCCCCGAAGCCGACTTTAAATAGGGCGCAAAACACGGTAGCGGGGTATGGTTTCCGAAGCCAATTTTTACTAAAAGCACCACTCTTAATAGCAAGTAAAACGGTAATAAAGTTACCGGAAGTCAACGATGATCAGAAACATAACTGGAGGCAAGGTTTGCTTTTCGACGCTGGTTTTGATCAAGTAAGGTACGGTCTCTCGAGGATGACTTTTGCAAAAGCTACGATATTACTGGTTAACCGACCGACCTAACCAATCCCTCGACCAACCGACTACTATATACTATATATCTGGTATGGACAAGAATGCTAGATAGTCAAGAATACATAGAGTCGTTATACGTTTGACCAAGCAGATCAAAACACCTCAAATGGATCGCTTAAACAAAAAGGAAAAACAAAACATTCAAGATAGGCGTTGTCAACATCAGAGAAACTGACCAAAGATGGAAAGAAAAGAGATCTCGACGTTTATAAGGAACCTTCGGACAGACAGATGGGCATGACTAGATCGACTCCGCTATGGATCCTGATCTGAAACTTCTACCTGTTAAAAACTTTTCAACCTTTTACTCAACGAGTAACGGGTATAAAACAAAGGATAGGGTGAGGAGTTTTTTTATTTGTTTTTCCGATTGTTCCTAAAGGAGCTATATGCTATAGTAGTCCGACTCAGCTCGTTCCGACTTATGTACTATGTGCAAAAGGAAAACAACTTTTGGAAAAGTTTCATGCAGATTGCTTTAAAACTAAGAGACTGGTTTGCGTAGAAACGGACGGCGGACAGACGGACGGACGGGCAGACGATCATGGCTAGATCGACTCTCCTAGTAATGCTGATCAATAATATATATACTTTTTAGGGTCGGAGATGTCTCTTGAAGTTATATTACACTCTGCAAGGCTATACAAATTGAAAAAGGTATATTGGAACTAACTATTTCAACGGGGCAAAAATTTTCTACGAACTACAACATTGGACAAGCAGCGCAAATACTTTTTAACATAATTAACTTTACCTTCAAATGAAAAAAGATACCTAGGCGAGAGCGTGGGCCCCTGCAGAACCCTCAGACCCAGAAGAGGTTTTAAAGATCTTAGCCAGGTTAAGCCCCATGATACCCACAGACGGGAGGAAGGTGGTTAAAACCGAAAAGAGTGAGAAGAGCACTATGATCGGCGTCTTCAGATTAATCTTCACCATAGTAAGGCAGCCACATTTACCCTTCTAAAGCGCCTAGAAATAGACGCAATAGTCGCAATCCTTGTTCAAGAACCTTGGCTTTTGGGCAATAAAATCTGTTTGTTACTGAAATAAGTATATTTGGGGGTTTTTAAACCACAGATTTTATTATATCCAAGGTTCTTGAAGAAGGATTGCGACTATTGCGCCTTTTTCTAGGCGCTTTAGGAAGACGAGCGATCCAGTTGAGGTGTTTTGATCTGCTTGGTCAAACAACTCTATGTATTCTTGACTATCTAGCATTCTTGTCCAGACCAGATATGTAGTATATAGTAGTCAGTTGGTCGAGGGATTGGTTAGGTCGGTCGGTTAACAGGTAATATCGTGGCTTTTGCAAAAGTCATCCTCGAGAGACCGTACCTTACTTGATCAAAACCAGCGTCGAAAAGCAAACCTTGCCTCCAGTTATGTTTCTGATCATCGTTGACTTCCGGTAACTTTATTACCGTTTTACTTGCTATTAAGAGTGGTGCTTTTAGTAAAAATCGGCTTCAGAAACCATACCCCGCTACCGTGTTTTGCGCCCTATTTAAAGTCGGCTACAATCTCTAAACCAAAATTTTCCCTTTGAAAAAAAATGAATTACTGACCGAAAGAACTTTAAGAAAAAACTAATAGCAATATAACAACAGAGCAAAGTAAGGGAACAAAGGAACAATGTCAACAATATAGCAAAGGACAGGAGGAGTGAGCAACTGAACAAGTGAGTAACGGAGTCACTGAGATACCGAGAAAAGTAAGTGAGAAATTAAACAACTGAGCAACTGAACAATAAAAAAAAAATTCAAAGATTTATGTTTTTTCTAACATAAAATCAAAAGTATAAAATGCGTTTGTATCGAAGCTGTCCCACTGTATAAGGTGCGCGTTTTCATAGCTTTTAGCTGCAACGTTGTTGATCTTTCAGTCTTCTTTCTGTTGTCTTTATTATTTCAATTATCTGTTGTGTAGGGTACGAAAATTTTGCATCCTTGCATGCGATCGCCTTTATTCGGCACTAATGTCATCCAGCCTCAAATTAAACAGTTAAGATGCTTTTTTCTCTGCATTATCAGTAGGAACTGGTTCTGCAGCCAAAATACATATTCATGCTATCTTTAGATAAAACTTTTAAGTGGATCATCTACGTTCTTTTGAGAGGTGCTGATTGACAAATATATATTTGTCAGCACTGGGAAATCAAGAAACGGACGAGAAATAGGGCCTCTGAAATTTAGTACCAACAAGCGCTTTAAAAATTGTGTGTGTTTCTGACTTTATTGTAAAACTTTTTTGTACTGCCTAATAGCAAATTGTGCAAAGAACAATTGTTTTTTAGATCCAAATAAATAAATAATGGTACCTTTGTTTTAGCGGTAAGCTTGGAGTGTTTTCTGATTAATATATCTAACAAAAATAATATTTTATAGGATGTATGAATATTGTAGTATATTTACTACAACATGACGCCAGCCCGGACATACCAACAATACGCGGGGAAACACCACTTCATTTGGCAGCTCGTGCAAATCAGGTAGAGTTTAAAACAATACAAGTTTTATTTTCTGTATCTACATTGTTAAGTTGGTTGATTTGTTTTAGACGGATATTATTCGAATTTTGCTCCGCACCGGAAAAGTGGATGCTATCGCACGTGAAGGCCAAACGCCCCTACATGTAGCTTCTCGATTGGGAAATATTAATATAATCATGTTAATACTGCAGCATGGAGCGGATATTAACGCTAAAACTAAAGACAATTACACGGCGCTGCACATTGCTGCAAAAGAAGGACAAGAGGATGTAGTCCAAATTTTATTGGAAAACGGTGCGAAACTAGACGCTGTAACAAAGAAGGGATTTACCGCATTGCATTTGGCTAGCAAATACGGCAAGCAGAAAATTGTAACTTTGTTATTAGAAAAAGGAGCTTCTGTCGATTTTCAGGGAAAAAATGATGTCTCCTCATTACACGTGGCCACGCATTACGATCATCAGCCAGTGGTAGAGGTTCTTTTGAAAAACGGTGCTTTGCCAAATTTGTGTGCGCGGAATGGGCAAAGTGCCATCCACATAGCTGCCAAGAAGAATAATTTTGAAATTGCGCAGCAGTTGCTTCAACACGGTGCAGATGTGCGGGCTATAAGCAAGAGCGGCTTCTCTCCGTTGCATTTGGCGGCCCAAGAGGGGCACGTCGATATGGTGCAACTACTCCTAGAATATGGGGCTTTAAACACCGGTGCTAAAAACGGCTTGACACCATTACATTCGGCTGCACAGGAGGGCCACGTTCTCGTATCCCAGATATTGTTGAAACATGGTGCTAAGATTTCAGAACGCACTAAAAATGGTTATTCTCCTTTACATATTGCTGCCCATAATGGTCACCTTGATCTAGTTAAATTTTTCCTTGAAAACGATGCTGACATTGAAATGTCTACCAACATTGGCTATACACCGCTTCATCAAGCTGCTCAACAAGGCCACATAATGATAATAAACTTGCTATTACGACACAAAGCAAATCCCAACGCTTTAACAAGTGTAAGTACAAACATTCATAAAAATAAATTCTTGATAAGAATTGGTAAAAAAAACCTTTTCTGGAAAGTAGGTTGTGTCCTTGACGATGGTTTTATTTGTTAGTCTTGTACAACCGTCTTGTCATTGCAGAGGGTATTATAATTTTAAAAGTTAGAATCGAAGCGATTCTGAGGTGCCACCACAAAATAATTTTTAAAAAGTCAAATATGTTACTATTAACCAATTCTGTTATGTAACAATGTTCTTAGAACATCAAAGAATAAAATACAAATTTCATTTGCACTTTAAGTTATCGCAAAGTATTTTAAATGAATTAATTTTCTGTTCTTTCGGATCTGAATCCATCAGTCAAATGCTTGGCGAAAAGTTTCCGTTATTTTTTTGCGGAAGTTAACAGAGAATTAACAGAGGGAATTAACAGAGCTTAGATTCCGTGTAAAACTTTCGGAATAGAAAATTGAAACAGGTCTGCGAAATTCGAATCCGTTTGAATCTTTCGGAAGTGAAAACTGGAACATGGCTGTTTATATGAGTTTCGGTCATATCTATCAGTTGACACAAAAAAGAAAATCGAACTATTATTTACCAAGTTTTTAAGTCCTGGTGGTGATCGCTGATATAAAGAGACAGAGAGAAAAAATTGTTAGCGTGGGTGAGGGTGCTGTGTTTATGGCCTCTAGTTCGACAGACGGCGCCAGCAAGAAACGGATGCTTTGTGGGGGAACATTAAGTTTAAAATTTGTTAGCTGAGTGACGCGTACATAATAGTCGGGGAACTTCACTATAGTTTTCTTTCTTGATTTATATTTAATTGTTCGATTATTCCAATGAGAGCTAATTGATAAAGTCGATCGAGCTTATCGAAGTTAAAACCATGATTCTGAAATATTAAACCATTACTACAGAATTAAAAAAAAAATTAAGATACAACCAAGTACTAATATTTTTATTACAATTGCTCCTATGGGAGCTAAATAATATATTTTTCCGTCCGTCCGACAATGGACAGACCACTTTTGGAAAAGTTTCATTCAAATAGTTTTAAAAGTGAGGGACTAGCTTGCGTAGAAACGAACGAACATTTCTAGATCGACTCGTCTGGTAATGCTGATCAAAAATATATACATGTACTTGACAAAAACAAAATTATAAATTCACTAATTTTTCATTTATTTGTATATACTTTTTGATACAGTAATGGTTTACTATTTTAGAATGACGCTTTTAGTTTTATCAAAATCGGACAACGATGTCATAAAGCTGGCATAGGAACGATGGAAAACTTTAACGGAAAATCCACAAAGCTTTATTGTTTAAAAAAATAATATTTTTAGATTTCGACGTTGCAGAAGAATTTTTTACATATGTAATACTAATTATTTAAAACTTGTTTCCAGAACGGGAAGACTGCTCTGAACATTGCTAGTAGCCTGGGCTATATAACTGTAATGGAAACACTTAAGATTGTTACTTCAACATCCGTTGTTAATACCAATACTGGTGTGCTTGAAGAAAAATGCATGATAATGACTCCAGAGGTCATGCACGAAACGTTACTTTCCGACTCCGATGACGAAACTGGTGATGACCTTTTGGACCACAATAACTACAAATATATGGTAACAGACGATTTAAAGGGCAATTATAGTCAAGATCACCATAACTTCGATACCACAAATCCTGAACATGATCTCGCGGAAGTGTCGGCTCCTCTAATTTTTGAAAAAGGTAACTAAAACCCTCTTATTTATTTCCGTATTTCCATATTAATTTGGAACGCTTTTAAAACATAATAAATATCTTATTAGCTCCATCATAAGGTCATGACCAAATAATTTTGACAATATTAAGAATCTGTTGATGCCAACCTGGCAAGCTCTTTATGTACTGGGGCTCCGAGCTTATTTCAACCAAACACCAACAAAAACTTAAAAAGCATATAAAAACTTAACTGAACTTAACTAACTCTTTTATGTTACAAATTACACAAGTACACAGCCAAAAAATTCCACGAGCCCTTTTGTACTTTTTTATAATAATTGGGTGCTTCTGAGTAAAAGCCCATACAAATTATGTTTCATTAGCTATGAACAACAATAGCCTAAGTTTGACGACATTTTTATACCCTTGCAGAGGGTATTATAATTTCAGTCAGAAGTTTGCAACGCAGTGAAGGAGACGTTTCCGACCCTATAAAGTATATATATTCTTGATCAGCATCACTAGTAGAGTCGATCTAGCCATGTCCGTCTGTCCGTCCGTCTGTCCGTCTGTCCGTCTGTCCGTCTGTCCGTCCGTTTATATGCAAACTAGTCTCTCAGTTTTAAAGCTATCTGCATGAAACTTTCCCAAAAGTTGTCTTTCTATTGCAGGTAGTATATAAGTCGGAACGAGCCGGATCGGACGACTATAGCATATAGCTCCCATAGGAACAATCGGAAAAATAATTGAAAAAAAATTATAACTTTGCTGTTTTTTAATTTTTTGTTTAGTTCTTCGTCATATAGCAATGGTTAAATAATTCAGAATTATGGTTTAAATTTCATCAAAATCGGACGACTATAGCATATAGCTCCCATAGGAACAATCGGAAAAATAATTGAAAAAAATTATAACTTTGCTGTTTTTTAATTTTTTGTTTTGTTCTTCGACATAAAGCAATGGTTAAATATTTCAGAGTTATGGTTAAAATTTCATCAAAATCGGACGACTATAGCATATAGCTCCCATAGGAACAATCGGAAAAAAAATTGAAAAAAATTATAACTTTGCTGTTTTTTAATTTGTTTTTTAGTTCTTCGACATATAGCAATGGTTAAATATTTCAGAATTATGGTTTAAATTTCATCAAAATCGGACGACTATATCATATAGCTCCCATACAAATAATAAAAATATATAAAAGAAAAATCAAATAATTAAGCTGCAAATCTTCATAGCTTCAATGTTTTTAAACATATACGCAAGTAAATCATAATTTTAATGTTTTCAAAAATATTTAATTCTTGCGATAGCTGCAAGGGTATATGAACTTCGGCTTGCCGAAGTTTGCTTTCTTTCTTGTTTTATTGTGTATCCCATATAATTTGAGTTACCTAATTTTTTTAATGCCAAACACTCTTGAAACATCACCGCGACATAAAAAAAGTCCCCTGCTTGACAAATTACCATATTGGAATATGACGTCAAAGTTTATATCTCAGATTATTACGCAGCATCAAACATTTTAAAGTGCCTCTAAAGTCTAATAAAATATAGCTATAATGGAATTAATTGCTCTTGGAATCTACAGTTCTCTGTGTGTTGTTATTCCTGCATCAAAGTTATTAATATGTATAGTTAGTTCGATGTTTTATAGCATTAAAAGCAAAAATTTTTGGGTATTCTCTACTCTATTGTTTATCCAATTTTAAGATAATCTGGCACCCTTTAAAATGTTAAATTAGGTAACTTCAATTCTATAAAATGCCGTCAAAAATTGAATTTTTATGTTCTAAGCTATACCAGAACATAAGTTTGCGTGGAGAAGTATAATTAGTTCGTTGAAATTTCAAAAAGTTAGATTTCACGCTCCTGTGCTATTTGTTAGTTTTATAATGAACTAATAATATATAATTAATTATATATTTTATAGTTAACTAATAATAATGATTAATATAATTAATTAATAATAAAAGCTAACTATTAACAAAAAGATCACAGAAAAAAGTAATGGTAGCGTAATGTTTTTGGCCTGTATGTCAGCTGCAAGTCAAGTCCTACTCTTGGGACTTGTTATTTTTACAAACAAATTACGAATTATCAAAGATACCGCTCAAATTTAGATGTTTTTTTACTCAATTTTTATGAGCTGTTTGGGGCTCTATCGTCGTATGTCGTTTCCCCTGAATTATAAATTTTATATATTTATTTAAATTATTATACAATTTATTTATTTATTTTTAAATATAGGTATAGCAATTAAATTTAAATCATTTTTGTATTTATATTTTCTTAGGAATGCTACACAACGACTCAAAAAGCACTAATGGATCTGAAATGGAACGAAAACCCGATAATGTTCCTATTATCCGACCTCAAGTTCATTTGGGGTGAGCATCCGTTATTAATTGTCAACTAAAGAAAATTAAGTTGACATTACATCTTTCAGTTTTCTGGTATCGTTTTTGGTTGATGCACGTGGTGGATCTATGCGCGGATATCGTCACAGCGGTGTCCGTATAATTGTTCCTCCGAAGGCGTGCGCTGAACCCACACGTATAACTTGTCGATATGTTAAACCCCAACGGATAGCAAACCCTCCTCCTTTAATGGAGGGCGAGGCACTTGTAAGTCGTATTTTAGAACTGTCACCTGTTGAAGGAATGTTTTTAAGGTAGGCAATTTAATGTAAAAATGTTGAGTTCACAATTATTAAAAAATTTTTATTTAAGCCCAATAACATTAGAAGTTCCTCACTTTGGAACCCTTAGAGAGAACGAACGAGAAATTATTATATTGCGGTCCGACAACGGAGAAAGCTGGCGCGAGCACAACTCTCATGAGAGTGAAGAACTTATGGGAACATTTGGAGACGATGTTAATCGGATAGAAGCGTTAAATACGGACCGCATCGTTCGCATCATTACGCAAAATGTTCCGCACTTTTTCGCCGTTGTTTCACGTGTGCGTCAGGAGGTGCACGCCATTGGACCTGATGGTGGTACTGTTTTCTCGACGGCAGTACCGCAGGTTCAAGCTATATTTCCACCCCATGCGTTGACCAAGAAAATTCGAGTCGGTCTTCAGGCACAGCCAGTAGACCTGGTTGGATGTTCTAAGCTGCTTGGCCAAGGCGTTGCTGTCTCACCAATAGTCACTGTGGAGCCGCGACGACGAAAATTCCATAAGGCTATTACACTTAGTATTCCTGCTCCAAAAGCTTGTACCAATAGTATGGTTAATGCTTGCTATGGCAACGGAAATTCGAATTCACCTACTCTGAGACTATTGTGTTCCATTACTGGTGGTCAAACGCGCGCCACTTGGGAGGATGTTACGGGATCAACTCCGCTGTCATTTGTAAAAGATAGTATAACATTCACCACTACTGTTTCTGCCCGTTTTTGGTTAATGGATTGCCGCAACATTGTAGACGCAGGACGAATGGCCACAGAGCTCTACAGTCATTTGGCCAAAGTTCCTTTTCTTGTTAAGTTTGTAATATTTGCAAAACGAATCTCCCAAACGGAAGCAAAGTTTTCAGTGTTTTGCATGACTGACGATAAAGAGGATAAGACACTTGAACAGCAAGAATATTTTACAGAAGTTGCAAAGAGCAGGGATATCGAAGTATTGCAGGATCAAACAATTTACTTAGAGTTCGGAGGTAACCTTTTCCCAGTTTTAAAGACAGGCGAGCAGTTAAATATAAAGTTCCAAGCATTTTGCGAAAATCGACTTTCGTTTATTGCTCATATAAAAGATCCGGAATTTCCACAAGGTTGTATATGTTTTATGACCGATCCTAAGGCAGGTCCAAATGAAGTCCCACTTAATCCGCTTTGTACCTTAAATGTATCAGTATATATGAACACTGTTGCAAAGCATATTGAAAGCGATAAGTCGGACAATTCAAATCATGGTATTAATGTGCGTACTGAAATAAATGAAAATTATATGATTGATTCAGAATTAAAAGCTAACACAGCAGATGCAGCGACTTCAGAAGAAATGGTCAAAAAAAGTGATGTAATAGAAGATGATAAAAGGTCAAGCAATATTGAATTAATTCAAAGTGCAGATATAACTATATCGGATATATCTAGCAATATAGGTAGTGACTGGCCTCAGCTAGCGATTGAATTGGGTGTTCCCGAGACCGATATCGAGCTTGTCAAAGCAGAGTACTGTAGTGGCGACAGCGTACAGCAGAGCATGGTAATGTTGCAGCTATGGCTAGAAAATGGGGGCATTTCCACAGGAAATGTATTAGCTTTAGCCCTTTACAAAATCGGGCGTGCGGACATAGTGGAAAAGTGCATTCAAAACATTGAGTTTGTCACTGATAAATTGGAGCAAGATACGTCCACAATCAAACAAAAAAAAATTGTGGTTTGTGAAAAGCTATTAACGACGCCTGTAGAACCATATGCTCTTCAACAAAAATATGGTACTTATAAAAAAGAAAGGAATCATAATGTACAGTAATTCTTATATAACTTATATTTTTTTAATACAGAAATGGAAACTGAGAAATATAACCCTGAATTAAGTAATAATGAAAAAACTCTAAACACAGCACCGTCAGGTAATTAAAAGTTAATACATGCGTGACTTCGAAAAAAAATTAATTTCATTTTAACTTGCAGAAAAATGTATTTCAACAAATCCAGATATTTGATGTCAAAAAACGGCAGTACTCACCGAACAACGTTACCCATAGTGTCAATTATTTTTAAACAAACAAAACAAATTTATTTGATTTTTATTTTGACCGTAACGAGCAATATTTTTGTCATTACTAATTTTTGCAATTTATATTGGAAACATATTAACTGACTTAACATTTTTGTTAGATGTTAAAACTACGTACTAATACAATAAATTGTTAAACCAATTTTTTATTTTAAACTTAATTTTTAGTAGGAATAATTTTGAAAAAACACAGCTGTTTGTCCTAAATAAAGGTGACAATTTTTCAACACATGTATTTAAAAAAGGGCGACTTGACAGAAAGATCTTATGAAAAATGCTTAAAAGCGTGTTACATAGAATGAAACAAATCGTAAGATTATAAAGATAAAATTTTTTTTTTGGCAAACAAATTTAAAAAACACAATTAAATTAAAAAAAATATATTTTTTTAATAAAAACTAAAACTTACTATCAGGTTCTTTGGTAATGACATAACCGTTTTTCGTATATGGAAATGCTATATACCGCTTTATAGGTCTTAAAAAATGCCTGTAAAATTTACATTAGCGCTCAATTACGATTACGATTGAGATACGAAAATCTGCGAATCTCTGCTGAGCCCCTATAAACTCCACTGATTTTTAGATCAGTTGATTACTGCCGATAAAAAATGGATCTCTCATGAGAACACTAAGCGTAAAAGATACTGGTCGAAGCACGCCGAGTCGTCTTAAATGGTGGCAAAGCTAGGATTGAGGGCTAGAAATGTTTTGCTGAGTGTATGGTGGAATGTCGGAGAAATCATCCATTATGAAGTGACCAAACCAATCAATGAAGACCTCTACTGTACACAACTGGAGAGGTTGAAAATTGCATTTCAACAGGAGCGGTAAGCTATGGTGAATCCAGTATGACAACGCCAGGTGACTCTGCACAGGTTTTAATGCATCTACCTTATACTCCGGACAACACCCCCAGCGATTAACATCTGTTTCTGGCTTTTTTTAATTCGATTTTCGATTTTCTGAAATGGCTTGTGAAAATCAATTTGCCAGGTTTTTTTTTCCTAATAGGGACAAGGACTTCTTCAAAAAAGACAAACAACAAATTATCGTACAAAACGAACTATGCTAAATGTTTTAAAATAATCGTGAAAAATCAATAAAGAAACCGGTATGTCATTACCAAACAACCTGCTATTAAAAAGCAGATGGCTCTAAAAATTTTTATATCCTGCAAAAAATTAACGAAAAAATTAATGTTATTCCATGGCGATTTAAAAGAGCTTAATAACTAAAACAAATTTACACCTCCAAGAAAAATTCGCCACTATTAAAAATCTTTCAAGCCAAGGCACTATAGGTCCATCGACCACATTCGTTGGCAAAACCAATTTTTAAAAAGTCATTGACACTTTTTCAGATATTTAGTTTTTTAAGACCAAGCCTCAAGTTTTGCAAATTTAAGTGGTTTTATTATATGGAATTAAAAGGCAACCCAAAAGGACAAAGGATATGTTTTTAACTTTTTTCTCAACCGCAGCAGCTAATATTACCTTGAAAAATAAGACACAACTTTGGTAACGCCAGCAGAAAATTGAAACCGAAACAGTTATAGTACTTTTAAAAACCTTGAGACGGTGGCAGTCCACCATTTACCATTCTAGCTAGAAGAACTTGATCCCGGAGAAGGCAGGGGAATGCTATGCCGTAAAACACTGCATCATGAGCTTAATCACCCGTGAAAAAGTTTAAGTGTAAGTGTATTATTCTTGTATGAAATAACCCTTGACACTTCAAAACTTTTGATATACGTGTAGCATGCAACGTTGATAGTATACATGGAGCTGATGGTAAGTTAAGAGAGAGAGAGAGAGCAATGAGGCACGCTAAGCAAATAGACATGGCACTAAAATTTAAGGACAATGGACGAACGGGGACACTGTGGTGCTTATTATCCGTTATCCTTTTATTTTATGGGCTCCATTAAGTTCGGCAATTCTTCCATAGTTTTACGCGCTAGTTCGATTTTATATTCATTTATTTATTTACATCACTCATTTCAAGACTTAATCAAATAAAAACCCCCTAACAAAAATTTTGACTTAATTTAATTAATATAAACTCTGTTTACTAGATTCAACATTTTAATAAAGGTCACCGGCAACAAGGTTATTTTTAGATTTTCACAAAAAAAAAAAAAAAAAACTAGCAAAACAATAAGCATATTCGTTTTTAGGCATGTTGATAAAAGGCTTTTATTTAATCATAGACATACAAGTCTAGAGATTCCCTGCCTTTTTGTTTTCAAAAACAATGCAAAGAAAATTTTGGTCGCAGCCGGAGTCAAATTTAGAGTTTAATATTACATTTATGTAGTCTTAATATAACGATTTGCTGGATTATGACAAAAAATCTTTCGCAGGTGCAGCTAAATCATGTTTTGGGTATTGGGTTTGGTTGATTTTTTATATTTTTTTTGTCTCCACATTTATTCCTCGTTACTCAACCACTTCGACTTCAATAATAATATAACAAAAACAAGCAAGAAAGAAAGTAAACTTCGGCAAGCCGAAGTTCATATACTCTTGCAGCTATTGCAAGAATTAAATACTTTTGAAAACATTAAAATTATAATTTACTTGCTTATATGTTTAAAAACATTGAAGCTATGATGATTTGCAGCTCAATTATTAGATAGTTATTTTATATATTTTTATTATTTCTATGGGAGCTATATGATATAGCCGTCGATTTTTATGAAACTTTAACCGTAATTCTAAAATATTTAACCATTACTATATGTCGAAGAACTAAAAAAAAAATTAAAAACAGAAAAGTTATATATTGTTTTTTGTGTTTTTTTCCGATTGTTCCTATGGGAGCTATATGCTATAGTCGTCCAATTTTGATTAAATTTAAACCGTAATTCTGAAATATTTAACCATTACTATATGTCAAAGAACTGAAAAAAAAAATGAAAAACAGCAAAGTTATAATTTTTTTTATTTTTTTTTTTCGATTGTACCTACAGGAGCTATATGCTATAGTCGTTCGATCCGACTTATATACTACCTGCAATAGAAAGGCAACTTTTGGGAAAGTTTCATGCAGATAGCTTTAAAACTTAGAGACCAGTTATAGAAGAAACGGACGGACAGACGGACGGGCAGACGAACATGGCTAGATCGACTCGCCTAGTGATGCTGATCAAGAATATATATACTTTATAGGGTCGGAAATGTCTCCTTCACTGCGTTGCAAACTTCTGACTGAAAATATAATACCCTCTGCAAGGGTATAAAAACGACATGACTTTCTTGCCAACCCAATATATGTAATTCTTAATCCTCTAAAAGCTAGGATTCAGTGCGTCGAGATCTCATCGCTGGATAAAAGGGGTATGTTTATCAGAACACAAGTTATATTTTATTTATATAAGTTATATTTTTATATATATCTATATATACGTGCAGTAGAGTATATCAAAAATAATATTTTCAACTCAAAATCAATTACATTTTTTTTTTTACAATAGTAACATTTTTGATTTTTTATGTTATATAAAATAGGAAGTGATAAATCAATATAAATTCCTGAATTTATTTTACAATTGTATTTGTTTCTATGTAATATCATTTCTATTAAACTTTATCATATTTTCATGTATTTGCAATTTTAAATTATGTAAAAAGTTTTTACTCCAAATGTTATATATTAATAGTTATTTTCATTTTTGTAATCCGTATTAGAAACGAGCGTAAACTTTATCTAACAAATAAACTTGAATTCTAACCAGAATGTAAACATGACTTGGCAGGTCGGAGGACATCCGGAAAGCCCTTTCAGAATATGTCCCAATAACACAAAACGACCCTGGAATGGCGGAAATTTGGGTTGAGCTGGAGGAAATCTACAACAAACCAGGTTCAAGCGGCAAATTGCAAGTCCCAGACGCCGAAAAGTTCATAGCTAGCCTGGGCGTGGAGAGTAGAAGGAGAAAGGAAGATCCAGGGGCACAAGTCAAGAAATAAGACCAGAACAACAAAGGCCCAGCGCACCAGACTATCCAAAAGTCGCAAAGCAATGGTATTTCAAGTTTAACGGCACGGAGAAACCGCTGGAGTTTCTGGAACAAGTGGAATGGTCAGCAAACACATACGGTTTGAACCTGAACCTCACTTGTTGCAAGGCAAGGCCCAAAAGTGGTTTATTTCAAACTATAGGCACTGGAGGACGTGGGGAAAGTTCAACGAACTCCAAACTTATTTCTTGTCGAGAGGATTCTTCGCAAAGCTTCTTCTCGCAGATCAGGTCAAGCAAAGGAAACAGGGTTTCAGAGAGTCATTCAAGGACTATATTGTCGACATGAAGACAATTATGAGACCTCTCGGCTACTCCCCAAAGGAAACTCTCGAGCTGATAAAGGAAAACTGCACGCTTGATCTGAGGATTTCCCTGAGAACGTTAAGATAGACGATCTAGAATCTCTAATGGTCCTGGCTGATGAGTATGAAGAACTCTAGAAAGAGCGAGAAGCATTTATACAAGAAAACCAGTTCTCGCGAAACAAATCAACAGCACCACAACAAGTTACGTGTAGAAGATGCGAAGCAGACGGAGGACACCAAGCGCCCATCGACGGACCATGCCAATGGACTCCGAGCAACTTTTATCACCAGAACACGTTTTGGAGGCCACCTACTACCACTCAGAGACAACCCAATGTAGCACCGAGAGCTCACAGGTCACAGACGCACGTCGTGAACCCACATCAAGCATGCAGCATGCATGACGGGTATTGGGCACGAGGATGCCAAAACCAGCGGCTACTTTTCTGTAGCGTAGAGTGCTACCAGAGATCGGGAAATGGCCAGCAATCCCAGCCGCAGAGAGGCGAGCAGGGGTAGCAAGGTGTGGTCTCTCCAAACTAACTGGCGAATTAATCGAAGAAGAGCAGCAGTTATCCGCAGCGGTAACGATTGTCGGAAGCTCACACAATGCCAAAGATTACAAGGACGGGAAGGCAAGTTAGGTTGGCAGATGGCAGGTGCAGCTGGATAAACACACAGCTCGAGGTAGAGATCGAATTCGGCAACAAGCGATGGCCCATGAGCCTGCTGATCTTACCAGGAGTTGTAGACTTGCTTGTGCTAGGATGGAATTTCCTCACAGGAGTCGGCGTCGAAATTAAGTGTGCTGGAAATACGGTGGTGATCCAAGAAAGGAGAAGGCACAACGGATGGCTCGCTGAAAAATTGTCTGTGGCAGTGGTACAAATCACATCT